CCTCTCCCACTTGTTTGTTGTAGACTTCAGAGAAGAGAAAGGAGGCATTCGTCAGCGTAGGAAGGCCCACCGAGCGAAGCTCTTTCTTTTTTTTTTGCTGTGACATGAAGTGAAATTGTATCGTATGTTAGTTAGAGAGGTTGGCGAACTACTACGATCTATAGATTCCCCATCTATATCCAATCCCAACGAGAATAGAAGCGAGTCGCTTCCGGCTTGGCTTGTAGTTGTAGTCTTTTAGCTTATGTGGTGGTCGGCCTTCCTAGTAGTCGGCATTCTAGAAGCGACTTGTCGTAGAAGCTTTCCTTCCCCCCAGAATGCCTTACTCTTACTATAAACTTTAAGCTTTCTATAACAGAAGAAGCTTAATCTTAATGACTGACTACTAATACAACAAGCTCGCAACCTACTTTGATTCAAAAGGCAAAGAGGGCAAAAAGTTGATAAAAGAACTTTCTTCCCCTTCGGAAAGATAAAGGAGAGAAATATGAAAGGGGCGTAGCGCTTGAAAGCAGAAAATCCGATACAGAAAGAGAGAAAGCGAGTGGAATAAGACTTGACTTTTTTCGGCCATTTCTCAGCAATAGCTACCTGAATGGAAGCAAGCAACCCTCGGCTGGAAACTATCTAGATAGCTTCTTAGCGCTTAGCTACTTTCTCCTTCTGCGCCGCTAGCGCTACTACTCCGGAATAACATACTCTTTTTCGCGATGAGGCCCATCTCGGACCGGTGACGTATTCTAATGATCTGGATCTCTGGCTTATTTCTTACTTGACGGATTCCATTTCGGCTAGTGGGATTGTTGTAACGATAATCAGGAAAGAACAGGGTTGATTGGCTCTGATCGATACCATCTAAAAGTGCTTGCTTCATCCATTCGTTACATTACTGGTTATTCTTACTAAGTTTCGCCTCTAGTGACTCTTGGAATCATGCGCATGGCTCCATGTCGGCCTTTTCATTTGAATGGGAGGCCTAATGACTGAGGCCTAACGAGTGCTACGAGTGAATGCGTAGCTTTGTCTTCTCTTATTCAATTTCGAGTTACAGGTTAGAGGGAAAGAGAACTCCCCAAAGCAGCCATTCTCTTAAGAAGAGCTATTTTCCCTTGTTATTTCAAAAATGTGTATCATCATACTGAATCTAGCGCAAAGCAAGGAATTATTATCGGAAGTTGGCTACTTACTTAGGTAAATCAGTTCCTTCTCTAAGACTTAACTGCGCTGTCGAGGGAGATCTTTCAAGAGCCCATCTCGGATAGGGGAATTCCCCTTTTTGAAAGAGCTGCTTGTACTAAAGCTTGAAGGTGGAGATCTTATAAAGGTTGCCAGTAAGCAAGAAGCAAGCAGGTATCTATTAGCAGCAATAGTAAGAGTCATATAAAAGGTAGCCAAAAAGAAGCTGAAGTCATAGCTCGATAACGAGGAGCGAGTTTACGAGCTGGAACTATCACTCGATTGGCTGTAAAGAAAGAAGGGGCCCCATCGAAAGAAAGAGAACAAGAAAGGCCAGTATTGAGATGTCTGTGATCCTCTTCATGAGCCTCTGCAATAGAAACTCCCAAACCTCGATTAGATGCTTATTTTGATGGTTTTGTCTTCCTCAAAATCACTAAAGAAGTTATACAGAGCAGCTAGGCTAGTCCATACCATGGTAACGTAGTTATTTATTGTTGTTAGGTGGAATCCATTAAATAAGGGGCTTTCCTAGTCAAATAATAAGCCAGTAAAAGAAGAGCAACTTTCGGAATAGCTAGTCGGAGGAGAAGGAATAAAGAAAGGGTCGATGAACCCTTATCTACGACAAGCCTTGTACCAATAAAAAGTTCAGTTTCCGGAGCTTCTAGGCTCATCAATCACTAAACCAATAGAATCTTAGTATACCTTCCCTCTACTAACTGGTATGTATGTGTACTGGGCAAGCCTTTCTTCTTGTTAGCACTTACTTATCCGTGCTACCCATCCATTCATTACCTTCTCGGTCGGGAAAGAAGACATGGCTTATGCCTTAAAGGTTTCATCCATATCCATAGGTCTTGTCTTTCCTTAGCTTACTCTAGTTATCTCATGCCTAAGCCAATAAGCCACAGCAAGTCGAGGACAGGTATAGCTTGATACTTAGTCTTACCTGTGAATAAATCCCACTATTACCCCTGCTTTTTTCGATTCTTTAGCCCTAAAAAAGTAGGGAAATGAAAAGTATAGGTCTTCCATAGGAATGATTGAGTACGCCATAAGTCAGTAGAACTTTAAGTAGCGGCTATGGCTATGGCATACCCTTTCTATAGCTCCTCTTATGGGAAAGCTCTTTCACCATCCCACCTCTACATTCAAAGCATTCCACCTCGGATCAATCGTATGAAAGAAAGCAAAGCATCAGCAGGAGAAGCAGCATAGGAAGGTGAAGAGCACGCTTCCCTTTAGTAAGAGAATGAGTTGACTTTCTTCGTTTTACCTCTTGTTTCGCATCTCTTTAGTGGTAGGCTGTGAGGAGTCAGCGGAAAGGAGAGCTTCCCTCCGGGTTTCCGTCCCGGCTCAGTGGTAGAGCTAATAGCCCGCCGCCGTCAATTCCTTTGAGTTTCATTCTTGCGAACGTACTCCCCAGGCGGGATACTTAACGCGTTAGCTACAGCACTGCACGGGTCGATACGCACAGCGCCTAGTATCCATCGTTTACGGCTAGGACTACTGGGGTATCTAATCCCATTCGCTCCCCTAGCT